ATATAGCAGGAGACTGGTCTTTTTCTTTCCCCTGAAGTTTATTGCAATTTCTAATATTTTTTTTCAAATACATTTAAATGCTGATGTTCAAATCTGAACAGGCCTATTATATTAAAATTCAATCTGATCCTATAAGTGAATCTATCTCTGACAAAGCTGTAAAGGTTTTGGGTTTAACGATACCTTCCCCTCCCACCCTTTTTATTTGTCCTACAGCTTTCTCCTTAAAACAAGTATGACTGTCACTTCCCATCTGCTCTTCTTCTCCACTTTTTTTTTTCCCCCCATTTTGGGATAAGTAAAATTTCTATTTATCAAGTATTCAGTGTCACAGAATTCTCTTTGTGTCATTATTACTTTAGCATCCTTCTCCTGACAAATATTTCAAGATGCTACATAAGGTCTGATTAAAACCCAGTGTGAGTCCCCTCAATATTTAGTTTCTGTTTTCTCTCAGACTGCTCCCCATCCATATGACATGCAGTTTGACTGATCTGAACTCTTTCTTTTCCCAAAGGTGCTGCAGTAAGTTAAGATGCATGAGGCAAAGATATACAACTTGTAACGCTTCTAACTCTCAGCTGAATATTAGTTAAACATGAAATCCTATTGGCATTAACTCTGCAACTTTAGCAACTGTAGGATCAATTTAAAACAAAAAAAAGCCCATTTTAATCAGAGAATCCCACTGATATTCTTCGAATGCTTGCCCTGTTTTGTTTGTGAGACAATGGTCACGTTCTGCTCCTGAGCATTAAGAGGCATATTACAGACCCTTAAGCTTTTCAAGACAATCTAAATTGAAGGATGAGAAACCAAAATATTATGTCGAAAACAACTATTCACATCTATCAACTACAATAATCACCACGTTTTCATTTGTTTGAGCTGCCCTATTCTTTACAGGAGATGCTCTCTATAACAAGGAGTTCATCAAACATTTGGTCATGCCTCATTTCCAGCCACCAACACTCATCAGAAAAAATAAAAAAATTAATGTAGTCCACTTCATTATACTTGAAAAAGCAGAAGTAAGATATTCCACAGAAGGAACTTGAAAGACATCAAACTGTTTCATCAACACTAGTTTGAGCTGCACAAGACAAAATATAACCTCTTTGTTTTTAGAAAGACAACTGCAGATGGGAAATGAAAGATGGATTCCATTAAACTCAGTGAAATCACTGAACCTAACACAGGATTTTCGCTATATAGGCGCCAGCAATGCCTTCTGCTGCAACTTATTTAAAAATAGTAAGTTTCTAAATAAATAATAATAATAATATAATAAATAATAATAATATAATAAATAATAATTTAGCTTCAAATACTAAAATAGTAAAACACAAGATGCATTTCAGTATTCTGAAAGCTAAACTGTGTTTTCTGACTTTTTAGCCTCTTTTCTTTCCACATTGAAACAAGGCTATCTGTGACCAGGCCTGCTTTCAATTTCTTGTCTTCATGGGAAAGCCCTCTCATGAAAGCTGCTACGCCATCAATCATGTTTTCCTTAGAGACTCTCATCATTTCTATCTCCTCTTTTTAACTGCAAAACAGCATCACACATGTGGCAACAAAATTCTTGCTCATTCTATCCTCCTAGTCTAAATGCTCACATCTGTCTGACATCATTTCAGCTCTTAAGAAAAACAGGAATGTATTTCAAAGAGGTCATTCATTTGTCTAATGTCAAACCAGTGACTACAAGTCTATGCAACACGTGCAACTTCTCCAGGCACGTGTGTATATGTCACAGTCCACACTTTTGAGATCAGGATTACCTTGTCCTTTGATTGTCCTTGTCGAGCAATTGCGTCGTATTTTATTTTTCCTTCTGCATCCACCTGAACAGCCAAAGCATTGGACATTTTTTTCTTTCGGCCCATATCCAACGGATATTGGGCCACATGAATTTCTGGAAAAGCACCTCCATCTCCAAAATCCTACATTAAAAAAAAAAAAAAAAAAAAAAAAGGTGGGAATGACTGAAAGACAAAAACGTGGTACAACCATAGAATCATATAATGGCTTGGGTTGGAAGGGACCCCTAGGATCATCAAGTTCAGGCAGGGCCACCACCCTCCAGATCTGGTACTGGAGCAGGTCATAACATTTGCACGGGTGAGAAACGGAACAAAACAGTGGATTGATTTTAACAAAATGAAACACTGCTAAAATGCTCTAGCAGCATTACTGTAAAAGGAAAGATGACTAGAGTCTATGCTTGTCAAAAGGAAATACAAAGACATTCTGCAGGAAACTGTCAAGAATTACTCCTTACTCAGAGAAATTGCTTGTATCACTGGCTAGGGCACACAGGCAGTACAGCATGACAGGCAGTAAATGATCAAGTATTTAATTCACATGCAAGTTATTAATTAGAACTTCTAGAATTTATCTGCTGCAATAAAGCAACTGCTGAAACATGCAAAAATGAACCACTAGAGATTTCCATCATGAAATTGCTATTCTTGTAATTTTAGTTATCCTATCATAATTATGTGAAAAAATTTAAAAAGCTTTCCAACACTCCCAAGCCTGCAGCTCACAGCTTTACAATGGCATGAATGCCAAGCTACCAATTCCCTTATTTTGACACGTGACTTGAAAACTGGACAAGCAACCAATAGCTTGGTGTTCTCAACAGTTTACTTTTCCTCTTGTTCAACTTCTTAGTGTAAAACCATTTAAGGAGCAAAATAAATTAAAGACCTCTTTAAGCAGGCCATCCTGGCTCACTAACACTGAAGATGCAAACAGAATTGGTACACAATTGCTAAACCAAGTTCAGGCTATGGTTTCAAAAGCAGTTCTCCAAAGGAGGCATTTTCTCTAAGCAACACTATTGTCTCCTTTCACCCTTCTGCAATGGCTTTCATTTTGCCCAACAGCAAACCACAGCAAGGAGAAAGGGTGGCTGTCTTGGGTAGGTTGATCTCCCACACATTCACCATGAGACCAAACAGCTACCACCACTGCAGCAGGCAGCACGGGCCGAGACTGGAACAAGTAGGCACATTTCTTTCCAAAGCAGCACATACTCATGTTAGTCTCAAGCACTCACTGAAATTCAACTTCAGTTGTTTAAAGCCTTCCTCTGGATGCCCCACGTTCAACAGTTAACTACAGAATCAATGCTAAAGCATAATCCAGAACTAAATTCAGCTATCCCTCAGATTTTTCTACATGACCAAATCCATTAAGAATAGATGTTGTTCTTCAATTATGGCATTTCTGGATAACCAGATAAAAACTATACAAGCAATTATTATTCTTTAAGAATTTCTTTTTGTCTATGAGGCAAAAAGGGAAGTCTCTATCAATCTTTCTGAGATGTGCAGCATTTTCTGGCCCAGCCAGCTGGAAACTGATTGAACTAATTTAAGTATGGCTTTTTTTTTCCTTTTTCTTTTTTTTCCTCCCCTAACATTTAGAATAAGTACTCAAACAGTAACTTTAGTAATGAGCACTGTAAGGAAAAAACTAAACTATGCATTTCGTTACCATGACCTTAATTAAATGCTGAAATTCCATAAAAATATTTTATTTTAGAGAACCACTAGAACTACTGCTTTAAGTCACCTCATCCAGCACTCCCACACCTAACAAGTTTTTCTCTGTTACCACTCCCCAGCAGCAGTTATCTTTTGCTACCCTAAGAACACAGAACACACGAGCATTCTCTTCTCTGCTATGCACCTGTTCACTTATTCCACCTGTAATCCAGACACGTAATTAACAAATAATGATAGAGCAATGGTACGGCCATCATTCTCGGAGGGTCACTGAATCTGCAGACCTTAAATAGAAAGGGGACAGACCTAGTTCCACATTACCATGGTGACAACCACGGAAGAGAAGAAACTCTAAAATTTGCTGTTTACCACCAAACTTTTCAAGTAACTGCATGAATTGGGACAATTTCCTCCAAACAAAGAATGCATCAATCTGGATGGAAATTCTGCATATAGACCTGCACAATTCTCTGTAATAATCTCAGGAAACGTGACGGTTTATCTCTACTCTGGAAAAACACACTTTTATCACTGCTAACGCAGCTGTATTAGTACGATGAGAGTTTAAACACCCACCTCTAGTGTCCGCGGTATCCATCCTTTCCGGTAGCCGTACGGAGGAGGCTCCCTTCGTGATGAGACCAGAGCAGTCTGCCTGGATCTCTGAGCCCTCGCTCTTTCTTCTAGCTCTAGCTGGTCTTGGGACAGCTGGGTTGGAGCTGGTAAAAAACTGCACGTCCCCAGACAGCCACCAAAAAAAAAGACACATCAAAAGGTAAATCTTAGAAAGGTGAATTCCCACAGACAAACCTGCGAGCAGTTTTCCCCAGGCGGACACCTCGCCACAAAGCCAAACTCCCACGCCCCGACTGGGCACGCCGCACTCTCACACCCCCGCCGCCCTCCGCGCACCGCCAGGAAGCGTTCGGTACGGCAGGGCAGGCCGCGGAGCCGCGCTCCCGGGGCAGCAGCTCGCAACAAAGGCCTCGCTCGCGGAAAGGAAAAGCCGAAAAGAGAACAGATACCCCACAGCGGCCCTAATCCTCTCCCTCAGAAAACGCGCGGAGGCCCGCCGAAGCACGCAGCGGTGCGGAGGCCCCGTCCCGCTCTAGGCCGCACAAAGCGGGCAAGCGCGGGCAGCTCCCGCGGGCCCGGCCCGCATCCAGGAGGGGCCGCTCGCCCGGCTGCGCACCCACCGCCGCCAGCGCCTCGTCACCGCGACCGGAACAGCGCGGGAGGCAGAAGAACGCACCTGGTGAGCGCCATCTTGCCAACGCTCACTCGAAGTTAGGCCGCGGGCCGGGGGAGGGACGCGCGCCACAGACGCGCGTGCGCCGCAGCGAGCAGCTGGGAGTTGTAGTCAGGGAGACGGCACGCTGCGGAACGGGCGCGTGCGCGCGCCGACGGCGCAGTGGCTGCTGGGAGGCCCGCGGTGCCTGTGCGGAGGGTGGCGGCTTGCGGGTAGCGCGCGGCGCGGTGCTGCTTTGCGTTGCCTCCAGGCTCCGCGTGGCGCCTAGTGGCGCCTCGTGGAGCCGCAGAGCTGGGGAGGCTGCGGGACCCTGTGGGTGCGTGTGGTTCAAGGTCCAGGTGGCATTTGAAGATCTGCAATGGACAGATCCCGTTGGGCAGCCTGTGGCGGCGCTCTGCCACACGCACAGTGAGTTAGTGCTCCCCAGTCCTCAGATGGAATCTCCCGTGTCCCAGTTTGTGCGCGCTGCCTGCTGTCCTGCAGCCCGCGTCCACCCGCCGGAATTTCTAGGAAGGGAAGGCTGGAGGAGGGGTCAGGAGTTCCCGTTGCAATCCTGTGCTAAAGCGCACCTTGTCTCTGCTGGGACTTGGGTTTGGCGTTTGTGCTTTGGTGGCAGCAGCTCTGTCATCGTCTCTGAGTGACAGAGTTGTTGCCTTCTCTCCAGGACAGCGGGCCTCGCAGGAGTTCTTCAGACAAAGCTGAGCATATGAGACTGTGACGTATATCGTTTATCAGTAATTGTCACGAGCAAAGCTCACCTGCCATCTCTCCTACCCTTGCCTGTCAGTCATTTAGCAGCAGAGTTGCTGTTGTCTGACAGTTCTGGTCCTGGTCAGAAGCCCTTTGCCTGTTTCTGTCTGGAGTTGAGGAATGACTTATTCTCCCTCCTGCGTTCCTGATTCTTCCTGTGCATCATCTACCATTGTGTGGTAAATACACAGCTTTGGGATCTATTGCAGCCAACCTGTAAGGCAGACACGAACTAAAACAGAACGTGGGCAGTGTGCTGCTGCTTCTTTGCTGGTTTCCTCAGTCTCACAGCTGCATGGTTGCCCTCTCCATGCAGACAGTAGGCTGTTTGTGTTTGCAGATCTTTATAGCTGCCTTGGCTATAAGCAGGAGCAGTTCTTTTTTCAACACTTTATTTCACCTGAACCCGCTTCTTTTTGTGGTTTGCTTTTAATGTGCAAATTGGTTGATGTAGAGTTTACGTGTATGTAGGGTTCATAGCACAGTGTAGACCGGACTGTATGGTATGATGAGGCTGTATGGGCTTATTCAAAATCCCATGGCTCTGTAAGCTCATCTCTGTCTGTATTTTAGGCATGTGCTGCTAATTCAGCTGTGGATAACTTCTTGTGCCTGCACTGCATTACCTGTTGCATGTCAAAACTAAAAAATGCTGATGTAAATGGTTTAACTGGACAAAAATGTTTACTGAAATATATTTCTTTGAGAAATTATGAAGTCGATGTAGAAAGTTTGGAAAATTTGAATATTTTCCAAATGGAACTTTCAAGCTTTGGTTTAAAGCAGCATTTGTTGGGAGCAGGTAAATTCTTAAAACCAGCATATTTACTTTAAGATCCAATACCACATCATGCAAACTTTTATATCAGGAGTGGAGGTTAAGTACAGAATGTGTTGTCCCTGGAAACAGGAAATCAGAGAGATTCAAATGAGAAATTAGGCAGAAACACTTAACAAAGAGAATGATTAAGCTTTGGAAAACTGTGAAAAGTGTTCGTTTAGGTTTTTATTCCTTATTACCTTCTAATCAAAGCTGAAAGCATTCTGGGAAGAGATGCTGTCAGTATTACAAGACTCCTTCGGGCAGACCTGGGGTGCGTGGGTCTGTACATGAACGGCCAGGTGAAGCATCATGTCCCACAGTATACACAGCATCAGACAAGAAAAATTACTATTCTCTCCCAGCTCTGTGAGCTGATCATTTCCATGCATCTTCATGTATCCTCTAGTTCTGGGCTTCGTGTGCACCAGACTTAGTTATGATTAGAGATGCCAGCTCTGGCTGATTCTTCTTTGATAAAAAGAAACATTAAGCAAGAAATGGATCTGAGATTCTTAAACCCTTTTTTTCCCAGGTATACGTATCCTTAGGAAAGAAAGATTAATTCATTTCTGTTTTACCATGCTCTTTTTTGCTTAGCATTTCTGGGCAGGAACGCTATCAGACTCAACACGTGCATCAATTTCCACAAGTACGCCAAAATAATCTTCTGTGTGGTGAGTAAAGTATTCAGGCACTTCATCCTTGGCTTGGCTGTCAGTGGGGACATTTTTAGTTCCATGTGAATACCACAGCTGGTTTTGAGAACACTTCCTCCAGTGTGTATTTCTGGTGCATTCCAAGGAGTCTTTTGGGGTAGATTTAGGCTGTTAAATCCTCTCCATCATTTTTTATCTACTTCAGCACTTTCCACATTTGCAAATGCAGAATTAAATGGCTCATGAAATATCTTGTAACAAATGAAGATGACAATACAAAGTAATGTAATAAGCTATTGCTAATATCAGATACCTGTATGCCTAATAGTCACTGCGCATTGTGGAATAAAAATGATCAAAATAAATGACACTTCTTAACTCAAGGGATAAATTATGCCACAGGTAAGATGCTAAACAGTGAAAAAGAAGAGATTTATCTAGATGGAAAAGTTCAGCAACATCAGCAACCCCTGCTCTTCTTTGGGATTACAGGCAGTATTCAGAAGGAATAATTATAGCTGGGGGAAAAAGCTCAGGTCTATTTAGATTAGTGCTTTTGGAGGAATCTTTAAATTCTTCAAGCTGTGTCTGTATTATCTGGAATGACTTAAAGGGAGACTGGTTTAATTTCTAATATTCGTTATAATTTTTAGAAGATTAAAATTTTGCAGATAGGCAAAAATCATCTCAGATGCTTCTGAGGTGATAGTAACCTTTCTGTTACTATGGTTTTGTAAACATGGTTATGCATTCCACTCACAGCTAATAAATATCCTCTTTGGACAGGGGATGTAGTGGCCTGTTGAAACTTCCCCGCATCTTTAGAAAGCAGAGTCAAAGGAATTTTTTTGCCAGCAGAAATTATAAGAGAGGGGTATGGAGGTGGAGTGCAGTTGTCTAAACTGACATCGGGCAACAGTGTTGAGCAAAGGCTTTGATTCTTGCAGAGAGGGATAAAAAAGTAGTACAAGTGGATTTTGCTGCTCATATAAAGCACTGCTCTCCAAGCAGCACAGATGCTGGTGATACTTTCCATATAGCTTTCTGTATTTTTCATCATAGGAAATCTAAAAAAGAGGTTGATTCTCAGCAATGAAGGCTTGTCCTCTGCTCAGGCAATCTGATTGCTCTTCCCACTCCAGTGCTTGGACAGTGAGGCCCGAGACTTTGTGTATGGTTCAGCATTTCATAAGATGCACACCTGGGAGGTAAAAAAAAAGGAAACACTATTCACTTTTCGTTTTCCACAGCAATTTGGGGTAATCTGAGATTTAATTTATTCACCAGTTGAAAGGGAAGCGGAAATCAAGCCATCATCTTTCTTTTGAGCCAAGCTCTTTCTTGAGTACCCTGTGGAGACTCGCACAAAAGAGCTCTGATCATTCTAACTAGGTGCTTGTTCTAATTATAGAAAGATTGAGCATTGCTTACAAAATTGCCCACTGCACTTCAGCACATGGCATTGTTATACTACAAAAGCTTTTTTCTTTTTTTTTTTTTTTTTGGCCCCAGCAGACCCAGCATCAGCCTGTTTAATGGAGAGCTGCAAGGAACAGAATTAATGTGAAGAAACCTCACACATATTTTCCAGGAGAGGCTGGCAAAGTCGGGTGCTGACCTGCTCCCTTTGTTGCGAATGCGGCCAATGCCTGTGTTGTGGCAGTCAGAGCGGGGCCTGGGCTGGGCCATGTTCTTGGACATCCTGGGTAGAACCAGCAAGCTGTGGTCAGGAATCAGAGGTAGTGCTGGGGACACAGCCCCTGTTTCGGATCTCTTTGATACAGTAGGGTGATAGCTTCTAAATGGATACTTCACTGCTATGCCCAATATCAGCCTCAGCCCTGGAGGTGGTGAATGTGCTGACTAACACAAACGTCGTAGTTCTGCCTTTCCTAAGTTGTGGATGCTTTGTTTCTTAGGAGAATGTTTACCTGTAAGACCACGTTGTACAGGCATTTATGTCCATGGGGATGGAAAAGAAAAAGAAAAAACCTCATAGGAACAGAAAATACCCTCAGTATTGTTGGGATCTTTTAGGGAAGTCTTTAGCATTGTCTCACAGCCAGGGTACAGATGGGCAGGTTGCCTTCATCATGGACGAGAGCTGGGCATCAAGGTATGTCCTTGAGCATCGTGGTCAATTACTCCTTCCTCAATAAACTTGCATCTTTTGCTTTGTAATTGACGTGTTCCTAAATCCCTCTTTACTCTCGGCTGCCTTTGTGTGCAACTGTATCCACGCAAATACGAACGCAGCGTGGAGGCACATTACTGAATTTCCATCGTCGATTCCAGAATCCCGTTGGAGACAATAACTCAAAGAATTATCGCGCTCCCGCTCCGCGCCCATTGGGCCTCTTCCCTCCAACTCCCTTCGGGCGGCCTCGCCCCGGAGCTGGGAACTACCCGTCCCGGCATGCCGCGCGGGGAGCGCCGCGCCATGTGCCAGGCGCGGGGGGAGCGGGCGCCGGGTGCTGCGGAGCCGGCGGGGCGGTAAGTGCGCGCTGCCTGCTGCGGGCGGCCGAGCGGGAGGAGCGGCGGGGCCGTTCTCCGCGCTCCTCAGCGGAGCTCCTCCCGCTCGGTCGCCCGCCGGGCCCCTTCAGTGCCAGGCCCGGCAGCTCGGGGTTGGTTGTGGGCCTGTAGGACGCGAGCGGATGTTCTTTTGGAAACAGCGACCCGTGTCGCTGCATGCGTGGTTTGGTTACTAGGCTTCTGAGAGAAAAGGCACGAGCCGGTGACCCTGCTAAAGGGGCACAGTGAGAACCAGGAAACTTTCTGAAATGAAGGCGATTAGCGCGGTCCTTCTCCACGAGGTAAAAATCCTGCACTCTGTCAAAGGTTCTCTTGAGAGCTTGCAGAGTGAGGCAGCCGTCTGTGCTGCTTGAGTCATGGTGTAAGCAGAAAGACCGCTCAGTTGTGTTTTCTGTCTGACTAATAAGAGGAAGGAGAGGAAAATATCGCCGATCCATAGTTTTTCTTTCAGGTTTAAATCCTATAAAGTGACAGAATGAGACAAAAAAATGTAATATTTTTAATGAACATGTTTACACTACCTTGCACACCGTAAGTAAGGAATACAGTGCTGCAGAGTGGTTAGTGTGGTTGACAACTTTATCTCTGCTCACATCTGCCAGAGGAAGGGGGGTGAGGAAAAAAGTGAGGCACCCGAGGCCCACCCTGCTTGAGCCAGGCCTGGGCTGTTGGTACCTGCATCTGTCTGTTCTGCCAGTGCATTCCTAGCCTGGCATTTGGATAAGCTGATGAGAAAGCAAGTTTCTTGGTGACTGATCAGGACCCCATCCCCTGTGTTGGATGCAGCTATCTGGAGCCACAAGCAGGGATGCATCGCGTCTTCTTTCCAGTGTTCATCAATACTGAGGAGCTTTCACAAGCAGCCTAGCAGTTTCCAATCAGTTTTGGGCTCTCTTAATATTGTTAGAACATTCTTTAAACTCTGCTTTTTAAATTCTTCTAGTACACCCTTATAATTTCACTATGCTGTCATACCTTCAAAACATTTGCAATAGGGAGGCAGCCTATTCCTGTAGTAAAGAACCGACTTACGATGAGCATATGCTGCCTTTTCTCTGTCCACCTGTTGTTTCTTGTTGTAAAATGTTTGGGACCACGAATAAATCTTTTTGTGGTGGATATGCAAAGTCTAGACCACTTCTGGGTTAGTGGTCTGTAGGCACTGTAGAGTTAGAAAAAATAATGAAATTAGAGCAGAGCAGCTTGCACTTGGCTGCTGTGTAGTTGCACGGGCTCTTTGCTAGGGGCAGTGCTAGCAGCACATCATTAGCAAAGGAGCAATTAAAACTTGGATAATCAGATCCCTCCAGGCATTACTATGTCTTTCTCTGATGTAACTGTTGCTGTTTTGTGTCTCAGCAGGGTTCACCAGTCATGGCAAGAAGGGCCTTGAAACTTGCCTCACTGGCAGCAGCTGCTTCTGGCATCTATCTGTATGGCAACAAGTTCATGGATCCCAATGATTTTGGAGTTGTTCGTGTGGGCCGAGCCATTGCCACAGTAAGTTTCATAGTACAAAAAGATTCCTAGAGGGGTTTCAGAGATTTGGAGTTCACAAATACTTGTGATTCTGTACAGACCCTCTCTTTCAGTTGCTAACTAGCGCCCAAGTGTCAATAGGTCAGCTGGGAGCTCCTCAAGTTGTTGACACAGTGTTGTTGACACTGTCTGATGTTTTTTGTTTTTAGTTTAAATGCTGCCAAACCTAAAAACGTTCTTGAGTTTCACATTGCATGCTTTCAGTAAAGTTACAAGTTGTGGCCCTTTGCTGGCCTTGCTTTTAAATCCATTTGAGGGTTCTGCATCCATTGCTGCTAGAAGTGACCTCCCCAAAGTATTGTCAGTGCTCTGGTGGCAGAATGTGCTTATGTCTGTGTGTCTGTATATTGTTCAAACAAGAATTTTCTGTTTCTTTTGGAATTCTGTTGCTTTAATATATGGGACTGTATATGGTCAGATTTGTCTCGAGAGATTCTTCATTTCTGCTGCATCAGTGATCTCTACCTTTCCACTTTGAGATCTGCTCAGGGATCTGCTCTAACCTGAACAGTGCAGACTGGTCTGATTTCTGGACCACAAAGAGGCTGAATCTACCAGATTATATGGGAACTGCTGGCTTATGGCCTGAACCTCTGATTGATCACCTGAGGTGAGCAATGAGTCAGCCACAGGTGAAGGCAATTCACCTGTGCTGCAGGAAGGGGTGGAGCCTGGCTGCACCCCTCCTAGACCTATTTAAGAGCTGACTGCCAGTAGGGAAGGATCTTTTCTGGAGATTGCCTCTGCTGGTGTTTTGTGGGTGAGCCCAGGATAGGGGTAAGCCTTCTATTTATTCTCTTTTTTTATCATAGTCTACTTTGCCTAACTCTTGTTTATTTTGTGATTATAACATTCCAGTATTCTTTGATTATACACAGAGTAATTATACATGTTCATTTCCTGGCCTTGCTCATTTTGTAAATGAAAACTGAGGTTCTGTGGCAAGCAACTTTCGATACTGGTGGAATCTATGTGGACCTAACCTGTATATCCTCTGATCTAGGTCTGGCCAGGTTTCTTAATCATTGGAGCATATCCAACCAAAAGCAGGCTGTATTTGAAAGGCTGTAATTCATAGAATAATAGAATAGCTTAGGTTGGAAGGGGCCTTAAGAACCATCCAGTTCCAGAGTCCTGCAATGGTCAGGGTCGTCAGCCTCTAGATCAGGCTGCCAAGGGCTCCATCCAGCCTGGCCTTGAATCCTTCCAGGGATGGGGCATTCACACCGCCCTCTGAGTAAGGAACTTTTTCCTAACAGCTAACCTAAATCTCCCTTCTAGTAGTTTTGAGCCATTCCCCCTGGTCTTGTCACTGTCAGATATTATAAAAAGTCCTTCCTTACGTATAGGCTTTCCTTGAGTACTGTAAGGCTTCAGTAAGATCTTCCTGGAGCCTTCTCCAAGCTGAACAAGCTCAGCTCTTAGTCTCTTCTCATCAAAGAGGTGCTGCAGCCTTCTGTGTATTTTTATGGCTTCCTGTGGACCTACTGAAACAACTCTGCACCATTCTTGAGGTGGAGGCCCCAAACAGACACAGAGCTCCAGATGGGATCTCACAAGGGCAAAGTAGATGGGGATAGCAACCTCCCTGATATTTAAGAAGTGAGTTTTGCAGCAGCAGATGCAAGAATCTAAGATAGGGTATGGTGTAACAAAAAAGAAAAAATTCCAGGAGAAAGGATGTGTGGTTAGGAAAGCTGGGTTAGAACTATAAAACTTCAGACAAATTTCATTTGAGATGGATTAGGAAGATTTGAATCTGCTTGTACATAATGCATAGTGGTTCTGTAGTCCTTTGCTGATCTTCCTCAGAAAGTTGATGAAGTCCTCAGTTGCTGAGAGAACTGGCTTTTGTTTATATGTGGGAACATATACATACAACTGAGGGAACGTTGTACCATGATTTGGTGAGATCTGAGGATGGTTTTAGGAGTGGTGGGAAGAGCATAAGGAATTGAGGGTCACTAGAATCAAAAGGAAGGCCAAGCCTTTGGGACATTGAGCTCTGCACTGGATACATCAGTTAAAGAAAGTAATCTGGCATTGGAGAAGGGAGGGACCAGTTGATCTTGTAGGTCTTTTTATGTCTCTGAGATTCAGTCTCGCTCTGTAATGTGAACAATTCTTGGTTGAGAATGAATTTGGTAGCCTGGACAGCGTCATGTTTCAGACAGTTTTCTGTGTTCTGATGAAGTCAGAAGCCTGGCGGAGCGTTGCGCATTTGCCATATTTCTTTGAGGGTAGCCCAAGTTGTTTGGAGTATGTGAAATGAGCACTGTGCTGTAGCTGGAGTATTTCTCACACAGTAACAGGGATTTGGCAATGTCAGTGTTGCCTATCAGGATCATCGTAATACTAATTTAGTGTTTAAGATTATGATGTAATTAGCAAATAGTTAATTAATTCCCTTGTCCTCAGTAATACAGGCCAATCTGTTAGCTGCTTCTCTTCAAGTTGGAGGTGATAATTACCCTCGCAGACTAGAGATAAAATACAAACCAACTCAAGCATTCATGCAAGACTGATTTGAACATCCTTTCACTTCACAGTTGTTGCTTGAGGTTGGAAAGATACTTTGAAAAATTTTTCTTTTGAGTGTGTGTCTGTGTAGCTGTGCACCTTATGAATTCATCAGGGGCAAGAGAGCCTGAAAAACCAGAAAAACGTGGTTTGCTCAGTTTCTAGTCTGGAAAACAGGAAACCTAAACTCCACAAGGAAAGAATACATCTATTTGTATCTCATTCCTAGCTGGATTTCCTCATGGATGCATCTCTGAGCCTTTGACTATTGCTTTGTTGACTTCAGTCACTCTGTTTTGAAACAGATAGGATCTCCCTTTCTGCCTGACTCTTCTGATCCTCTGATTGTGCTTCAGGTGTTTCATCTGTGCCTTTCCTAAGCATATGTGCAGTGTAAGAAGGCCAGGAATCCCATTCCACAGTGAGATGCCACCCCTTTGCTAGGGAGGTTTTAGGAAAGCTTTAGATCTGTTTCATGTGAATGGTTCTTTACGGCAAGGATCTTAAAGTTTAAGTGACATTCCTTTCTCTCCCTCCAAGTAAATTTTGAGGGCATGAGCTGTGTTTTTATGTTCCATTTGCTGGCCTGACTGTGGAAAGAGAGGAACTTCAGTCAAAGGTTAAAACTGTGAAATACCCAATATTCATTTTCAGAAATTAAGGCATTTAGAAATCTCGTTTTATTGTCTGTGGCTATGTCTAGCTAATAAGCTTTAGCTGGTTCTCCATATTGTACTTTTGTAATTGGGTATCTGACCCTTTTGCCCTCTAGTCCTTCATGAAGTTGAGTATCCCTGCCAGTATTACTCCCTGTGGTTATCAGTGAGCCTGTGTAGAGCCACTCTGTTTCCCTGCTGAGCCTTCTTTCTAGACCGAGCTCCCTATGTGCCAGTGTGCAGTTAGACAAGCTGGAGGTGTGAAGATCAGGTGTAGGATAATGGGTGGGGCACAAACAGGGCTTCTGTAGCATTACTAGCTGCAGACCTTATTGTGGAAACCCCAGATGGCTGGCTAAAATCTGAGCTCACGGTGCAGTACAGAGATTATGAAAGTGCTTAGAGCTTCTCAAAAGGAAGATAGTATGGAAATGCCAAACATTGGCTATTTTTAATAGCTGCATGCCACTGAGATTCCTGCACTGCTTTCTCTAAATGTTTAATGCTTTTTTTTTTGTTTCTACAGTTGATTACTGTGAACTCTACTGTAGAGCTTCAACTTTGTAGCCTGAACTACATACATCCTCCTAAGCAGATGGTTTGTTGTTTTTCAGTCCAAGATAACTGCAGAGCTTGATCAACTTTTGTTTTTGTTTGCAGACAGCAGTTATCACCTATGACTACCTCACCTCCCTTCGCAATGTCCCATATGGATCAGAGGAATATGACTTCCTCAAATCACAGGTAGGTTATACTACTGGTTGTGTTCCTTGGAAGCTCTTTGAGGCACAGGTGTGTTGCCAAAGCCATTACCATAAAACAAGCTATCAAGCTGTCAGCTTAATGATTCAACACAACTTCTACCAAACTGTTGATAACTGCAGAGGCAAACTGTGGAGCATTCTGGATAAGAATTGGGCAATACCTGCATTGCTGAATGGAGAAGTTCCTTTGTCAAGAGGAGGCACATGCAACCACTGCTTGCTTATGCCTGTTGGAGATTCAGGTTCTTATTGTATGGGGTAAGATGTGTTTGGGCCTTGTTACCAGATCCCTGCTGTCTGGAGTGGTTGTGTGGAGGTCAGGAGCAGAGAATGGTCTGGCAGTGGTTTCTTATACTGTTTATCCAAGCATATAACGCTTGAAGGCTGAGACTTTTAAGTAAAAGCAGAGTTTTGGGCAGGAAATAATAAGGATGAATTAGGCCTTTCAGCCTTTCAAGAAATCAGAGGTAATTGGGCAATGATACATTTCACTGTAAGACTCTATTTTGTTGTGTTTTGATATAGCTAACTAATGTGAATAGAAAATGCATTTCTGGTGAGAAATATAAGAATCCCTGTTGCTCCTCTGAGACCTGTGCTGCACCTTTCACTCAATCCTGCAGCTATACAGTATCTTCTTCTGTGACTGCTGCTAAGTTTTACTTCTGTTTGTATAGTGTAGCCACTGTCTCTCTTCTATTCAAGCTCAAGACTGAGTTGGAGTGAGAAATATGGTCTACGCCAAATTAGACAAGTCTGTGCAATACTTTTAAAATAAGATATTTAACTTTTTTCTTCTTAGTATGTACAAAATGTAGGCAACTGATGTGGTTGAAATGCTTGAGTTAGTGCTCTCCAGGGACTCTCAGACCAGAGGAGCTCTAAAGCTGGACACAGCAGTAGGCCTTGCTTGTGGTTGAGCATTGGGCTCCATTTCCTGCATCATACCAAGGTGTGTGTCAGCCATACTGGTTCAGACCTCATCCAAAATTAGAAATCAATGGCATTTGGACTTAAGCATGCTTTGGGTTCTTCTGGCAGAAAATTGACACCAACAGCATGGTCTTAAAGGGTATTTAGGATAGTTTACAGAGCGGTTTCTCTAGGCTTGTTCTCATCCTCTCCTGTGTAAAGATGTTAAGCAGTTCTGTTACAGTGCTTCATCCTAAGTGAGTGGCACTCATACTCTGACATAAACTAGGGATGGGCTTGTTGGACTCCTGAGCTTTGCTTTCCACCTGCCCATGTTTCTGCTGTTTGCCTTTGAAGCCTGGTTTGCAGAAGGACTGCTTGTAGCTTTCTTGGGCAACAACCAAGTTATGGAGTCATCAGTACTGTGGACAACTTGTTATTTGGCAGCTTTTTGTAGCAGCCCTTGCAAATTCCTGACCTTTTGCTGTATGTGTCCATGACTTCATTAACCTCTGTCATGCAGGCTTCAGTGGTTTGTCAATTCATACCTTTGCAGCTGGTCCAGGCCCTGTTTGCTGGTGCTGCTCAGAGCTGTGCTCTCCTTGTGAGGCAGCCAAGACTAGCTGAGTCAGCATCTGCCTGTGGCAGAGTGGTGTGGCCAGCGCTAGCCTTTGGCTGTGTGAAGAGGAATGATTGGGGAGATGGAGAGGAGAGAGTAAATGCAGACATAGTGTGAATTGGCAAAATTCTTTGACCTGTGAAGGTCTGTCCTCCTGTTGGCAAATGTTAAAAAAAAAATTTGTTGGTCTAGAACCATCTCTGAAGAGGGTGATACTTAAGAAGTTGATTCTAAAGGTTAGGCGCTGGATGAGACTAAGAGAACATGAATCCTCCTCCCAAGTGTTCTGTGTGAAGGATAGTTATCCAGATGCTTTGTACTTGTACTTGCCTCTGTTCTTGATAGATCTTTGGTGCTCTTGGCCATGAATTGCATTCTTCTGCCTTTCTGTCCTTCCAGTGAAGCCAGGTGAACTTCCTCTCCATATACTGAGTTTGGACTTTCCTTTTAAACATGTGTACGAGTTGGTTACTGGTTTCCAGCTTCTTTTTTTTTTTTTTTGTGCTGTGCTTAGAGCAGAGTTTCTATGAGGTTTGGGTTTAGTGACACTAGGACTGTGTATACTACCAGCAGGTCCAGGTGCAGCTACTGTGCCTCTCCTTCTGGAGATAAGATGCATGCAGCTGCATTCATGTCTGAGATGGGGATATATCTTGTGAATCAAAAAGGGCTACTTTTGGTGTAGCTTGTCCTGGTGCTCAGTATACTGGTGGGTGCTGCTTGAATGCAAATAGTACTTAACTCTCTTCAGATCCTCTGTCAACCATTAAACTGAGGCCTCTAAATTACCCACAGGGTAATTTAGATGGGAGATGAGAAGCTTCGGAGGCAGCACCACCAGTGCCTAAGCCTGTTGGGGTGAAACAGGGGCACAGTCATTAGGAAGCAATTAAATGCAAATCAGATTAAGAAGGAAGTGGGTTCCTCAAGGGCTTTTAGCCAGGTTCCTGCTTAGCTCCAAGGAAACCTCTTCAATCTTACTCTATTTTTCTGTCCCTCATGGGCCACTTTGATGCTAATGTTCTCAGCTAGTCAGTTCTAAGCATCTTTTTATGGTCAGTAGATTGGTGAAGTATTTGCTACTTTCTACAGGGCAAGAAGCAGTAGCTGGAATTTCATTGTGTGTCCCTGGGGTTGGTTTTATCATTTGTGTGTCTGTGTGTTTCCTAGCAGCCACAAGATGTGAGGAGCCGCCTTTCTGAAGGCACTCATAGACCTTCTTCAACAGTAGTGAAAAGAGGCCTTAACTTTTCCATTGCTGCTGCTTTCTGTAGCAGGGATGAATCTACTCAAGAAGTCAGACCATAGCAATGTCCATAACATTGCTTCCTTCACCTCATTGCTGATGTCTGGACATACTGAGATGAAGTTCTTTTCTGGCACGTTCTTTTTCTGCATATGAAGATATTGCTAGGATACTGATACCAGGGCCAGTGGTAGCCAGAGTTAGACTCAAGATGTGGGATGTCTGTAGGTCTAGTGTCAGAAAGATTTTGGGAAGGTACAAGCTTTCTTCAGTACATGCCTTTTTTTTTTTTCATTAAATGTTTCCAACCATTCTTGTACGTATGAGCTTGGACATTTCTTTCTGTTCCTGCCTTTGGTTGTATGGAGAATCAGAGGAATCATGAGGGTACGGTGCCCTTTCCCAGGTGGATTGTTTCTTATGTATTCCTTTCTCAATAAACAATTCTATTATGTGAAGGGCTACATTTCTTTAATATCCCCCTGCCTCCTTGAACAGTTGTTTCCCCAGTCCTGAGTCAGCCTACCCTTTGACATTTCCATTGTTCCTCTCATCATAGCACCTGGATGCCTTGTTTGACACTTCCTATATTGCTAGTGTCAATTTCTGTTGATCCTGCTGTCAGGAGGTATCTCACAACACGTTTGTTTAAGAACTGGTGTCAGTGGGCTTCAAAGTTACCATCATCAGAGTAAGAGGATTGCAGTGGGTTGTTCAGCTTGCAAATTTCTACACTAGTGATCATAGCTAAAAATCTTGAGCAGGGCATTTATTTTGTCATTTTACTATGTAAGGCAGAAGTTACTGCTGCAATTCTGGATACAGATTTTTTTTTTTTTTAACAGAGAGGAGGTAGCAAGGAGAGAGAATCTTTGGTCAAGGTGTCTCTGGAGACAGTAAGAATCCATTCTTGAATTAACTTTGGCAATAGAGTTGCTTTGTCAGGGAAAAGCCATTTGGGGAGGTTAATTAACTTCCTCCTTTAGAGAACAAAATGTGGATGTTCTCATTCAGGCTCTTGGTTGTTGGGCTTTCAGTATCTGGACAAATATTTTGAAGGTGTAACCTTGTGACCTTGTGCCATCATTTAAACAGAATAGTATTTCTTGTTCCTTCAGTTATTATGGTCGTATGTCATGTTTGTTTCTCATGGTGAGGTGAGTATTGTGGGGAAAAAAAAAGTCTTAGAGTGATGTTGCTTGACTGAGGGACCCTACCACCCAGGTAAGAAAACAAATGAATGTGCCTGCGTATGTTTGGCTGTTTTTTTAATATCATACACTTCCTGATAGCTATTTTGCTGGTCTGAGCTTGTCTCTGTGGCCTTCCACCATGATCTAGTAATACTGTGTGTCTTTATAGGAAGAAATATACTAAAATAGTTTCTTCACGTTGGATCTAGAGACTGTGCCTGCAGAGAGATGCCTGGGAGGCCTCCATGACAATCCTGCAAACTGATGGCTCTGTGTGGGGACCAGGGCTTGTTCTCCACCACAGTTGGTGCATGCACTGGTGGTTCTCTTTGCCTTCAAATTGAGTTGGAAAGGCTGAGAAGAATGAAATTCCATAAGAGACATGGAGTAGCTGTTAGGTAGTAGTGACTTTCTGTCACTGAGCTAAACGGGAAACCAGTAAGGGGGATAAAGAACTCCACAGCTTGTCTGTGGTACCTGAGCTGATAATGTTAGGCTGCCCCGTGCTTGTTCTCCCAAGGATTTATCTTCATCTAAATGGAATGATGGACAGTAATGCAGCCTAAAAAAAGCTACTAGCAGAACCAGCTGTTGCCTTGATGACTCTCCACTTCCAAGTGTCCTGTTCAGCAAACTTTTTGCCAACACGTAAAGCATGGAAGCTTTGCACCAGAAACACATAACACATAGCACAAGCTGTAAAATAGATCTTAAAGTTTTGAGACACTTCCTTTTCCTTCTCCTATTTTCTAGAGTACAGCCAGCTGAATGTTATGGTCACAGCATCTCTAGGTTTTAATTTTGTAGTGCGGAAGGTCCATTTTAGGGTGAGTGCCTACAAAGCAGGAAGTCCTTCAATTCTCTGCACAGGTTTATTTAGAGAAATAGGCCATCTCACTGTGGTGTTTCTGGAGGAGAAGGAAGAAGTGAGGGGAAATGATACCTAAATCATTGCACTTTTCTTGCTGGCTCAGCACTCTCATCCCTGAAATGCCTCACAAGGAGCATGA